GTGTGTTGCATTTATGAAATGAATGAACTGCTACAGAGAAAACAAAATTTTATTTCTGCATGCAACAAAAACATTTTGAACTCCGAAAAAAAAGACGCTGGGTTGAAAGTTACTTTCAAATTAAATAATGTCTACCTGAGTCCTCCTCGTATTTATGAAATAAAAAGCCGAACTTATATTATCCACTAGCAGCAAACCAAACATGCCACCTGCAGCAAACCAAAAATGCCGTCTGCTTCTGTGTGCCCTCATCCTTCTATCATGTGGTGAAATATTGAACAAACATCCCTCTCCCAGTGTAATAATGTTGCTGGAATTTTTATAAGAATCTTCTTAAAACAGAGAAGTAGATCTATATCTTCATTATGATTTAGCTGCAGCTCTTGTTCAGTCACTAAAAACTGTTATTTTTAATCTTACATTATAAACTAGTAGGACTCCTTTCATATATTTTGAATAGGAGAACAGCTTCCTGCATAGTCAAAGTCAGTGCTAAAGGGCTGCGTGCATTAAACAGCAAACCCCAAAAGTTCATCAGCAGTAAAAGCAAATGAATCTATCCACGTACCATTAAATGTTTGGTTTTCTTCAGAAACGTTTCTTTTCTTTGGATTTATCCATGGTTGGAGGGGGGAAAGCTCAGTAAATCGGCACTGGTCACAGATATAGGTGTGTTTAGTGACTGATTAGCAGATAAACAGTCAAGTGATGTGCAAGCACTGCTTTTAACATTCAGATGAAGGAGATTACATTGGTACAAAGAGAATTTCTTGTAACATGAGAGCCTGCAGGAAGCTTGTTTAGCAGAGGAATGTAGCGATTTACTTAACTAGCTGATTTACTTAACCAGCTAGCGCTGCGTTCCTGAGTGGAGCTTCGAGCAGATCAGTGGCTGTTCTGGTGCGTGTTTTGAGCGACGGAGCCGCAGCAGAGGGATTCAAGAGCCAGGTGCGGTTCCGGAGCCACGGGTTGCTGACCCCTGGACTAGACTAATGATAACAAGACATTATGATGGGGAGGATTCAGATGCTCTGTGGATTAAAAAAAAAAGTGAAGGTAACAGAGGAAATGGCCTTGTTGATTTGTGATTTTCTTTATATATTTCCTCTTTTTTGCCTCTGTTAGAGAGAAGGGTGTCTAGCAATTACCTCTTTCCTTTTAAGAAGATAATGAGTAGCTTTCTTCTGTTCCTTTCATGAGACAAATAGTTTGGTCTTGTATTGCTCCTAAACAATTTACCTTATACCTCTTGCTTAGAACCCACTTTAAGTTGTATATTTTGCAGTCTTTCAGTGGTTTTTGGGCCAATCAAGCTGTAACAGCTCTAGTCTAATCTTTGACCTTACAATATGGGAGCAATGCTGAGGAGGAACTGAATTTATGTACTTAACAGCTTTTTCCTTTGCCCTAGGCTTGTGAACTTACATGAAGCAACTGCTTCAGAAACCCCAGTTCTGTGGAAGTTGTTTCAATTTTGGAAGGTCTGGGGGGAATTCTCACCTTCTGCTCTACAAGGCAGGAATGGTTTGTCGTTATGTGAGAATATTGGAAGCATGGTGAACCATGGCATATTTGGTTTCCATGAATTATCATGAAGAACCAACCTTTTGCTGTATGGTTTCCACATTGCTTACTGTTATGTGGGAAGCCAGGTACAAGGTTTTTCTGCTGTTCCTGCCATGGTGGCTACAGTGGCCATTTTCTGCTATACTATTTGCCTAGCAATGGCTGAGTTAGCAGAGGATAGAGCACTGATTGGCTGCCCTTGTACTCCCTCTTCCTTTACTAATGTGATCTCCCCAATGCCCAGCCTGCCCACTGCTGCCGCCCCTGCTGCCTGGCTGATTGCCCACATCACATGCTGCCTGGCTGATTGCTGAGATGACCGGCTCTCACATGCTATCACTGTGCGAGCTCTCGCATACTGTCTTTATGTCTCTGCCCTTCACATGATTGTCCTCCCTCTGTTCCCATGCTCCTTCCCTTTGTGCAGACTCTCCTGCACTGTCTCCATGGCCTGTGCAACCTGTGGGACAGCATGTGAGAGTTTAAGTGAAGGGCAGGCACTTGTGAGGTGGTAGCACAGTGCAGCCACGCACGCTGGGCGTCTCGGTGATCGGCCAGGGGATGGGAGTGCACACCAAGAGAGAGGACTCAGAGCAGTAACTGCAGAGCCACTGTGCATCCTTCTGAGTAGACGGGTGCTTTGCAGAGTAGGAGGGGAGGGGGAAAAATCTGTAGCTGAATGAGAATGCACCCAGGGGATCATATGGGCCAGTGGGGAAGGGGCAAGCAGAAACAGTGCAATGCGTACTGGGTTTGATTACCAGCCACCAGAACTGATAGGATATGTGCTGCCATTTGGAGGTAAGATGAAGGTGTGCTTTGTGAGTGTGTGAACACAGAATGCAAGGTAAGAGTACTGCTCAGTGACCATTTGTGTTTTGCATGAACAGCCCCAGGGTGTGCAGTCACAACATGCTTTTGTTTGAAAGGGAAAATGTGTCTTTTCGCTGCTCCCAGATTTGTGAGATTTTGCCCTGAGCATTGGAAGGACTAACTGGCAGTGAGGTCTGACTGGACCCCATTGCAGAACTGAGCAAGGAAAAGAGATGAGAGATATTACTTCTTGCAGCTACTCACTTTTTTTTTGTAATTGTGCTTTATTAAGGAAATCTCAACCTGGATTTTGTTTTTAGTATGGCCTTGAGTCCTGGAACAAAAGGGGGACATATCCAGCCTAAGTAGGGCAATAATTACCTCATACTATATGACTTTTACCAAAACGAAACATCTACATATATTTGTGGCCCAGACTTCTTTGCACTCATTAATGTAGATCACTCATTACAATTATTTGCAAGTTATGAAGCTCTCTGCTATCATGTCTATGTTTTCCAATTTGGAAAACAAAGAAAATACCCATTGCAGAGGGAGGTGGTGGTGGTGGTGGTGGTGGTGGTGGTGGTGGTGGTGGTGGTGGTGTGTGTGTGTGTGTGAGAGAGAGAGAGAGAGAGAGAGAGAAAGAGAGAATTTTTTTTACTGTCCAGCTTTCACATCCATACATCGTGATCAGGAATACAATAAAGTCTGAGTTACGAACAACCTGTACTTACAAATGACCTGCCATACAGCCTATTAATTAAAAAAATACTGCAGAAAATCACCACCACCATGCCAGGGGTGGGGAACAGAAGGGGGAGGTCTCTAAGAGACCTCTGTCAACTTTAGCTTTTGTTTCTCACCTTTCTTTACTGGTTGTGTTTCTTCTATCATCCATCTAGGCTTTTTTCTCTTTTTGCTACAAGAATTGTCTTTTTGCATTCTTCCTTAATAATTCAGTCCACAGTTCTTCTGGTTCAGCCAGTTGAGTTCAGTAACACAAATCTATTCTTTATGCAGATTTTAAATTCCTTTGGAATGTTATTGAAGTTATATTATGGCACTATGCTTCTGTTAATGATATTGGTCAGCTTCACCCTGATTTTTAGTATTAGTAGTTGATAACCACTACATGATCTGTTCCTGGTCTTATTTTTGCAGTGAGAATGCATTTTTTAAACTTCCCATTACATAGTTTATTTGATTTGTATATTAACCATATAGTGATGTCCATGCATATAGGTGTCTGATTAGTTGCCTGAAGTATCTGTTTGTGGTAAACTATTGTTGACTTCACATAATTATATGTTATTCTTCTGATTTGTTTTTGGTTCTTTGGCTACATTCTCCTACAACATTTGATCCAGTTTTGTTATCCTACTTTTGCATTAGTCACCAGTTATCACCATGCCTTGCTTTTGGGTGTTACCAATTTCCTCTTGGATGCTTGCATAAAAGTTTTCAATTAAATTTCAGAATCTGTTGAGTCTCTCAAGATCATAGACTTGAATGATGGTTATGCTGATAGGTTTTTCCATAAATTCTGCCTGATATTACTCAGTTGGACTTTTCATTATAGCTCCTTACTGACTGCATCTTGCCTCGATATTGGAGCCACTCTGTTTCTTCTACGTTTGGTTGGTTTTTCCAGTTGGTTTTTGCAATACTTTGTGTTTGACTAAAAATGTCCCATTTCAGTCTGCTCTTGTTGGCTTACCCAAAGTACAGCAATGTTTAACCATTCCATTTCTTGCCTTATGGTTTCCAGTTTGTCTTGCTTCATATTTCTTATGTTACATGTTCTAATCGTATGTGTTGTACAGCACTGGATTTTTCTTTTGCCTTTGTGCATGTCAGCCACTAGAATGTCAGCTTTGAACTAGTCACATCATTAGCAACAGGACTATCTGGACTTGCTCCTTGCTGTTTCCCAGTAGCTACTTGAGTGGCTTCTAACCTGGGAATCTCCTCTTCTGTCATGTTCTCTTGTTGCATTGTATCATCGTAGAGTTTACAAGGTAAAGCATTTCAGAAGTGGCTTACTTCTACTTCAGGGTAGTACTAACCAGAGTTAGCTTTGAGCATTACTGCCATTATCTGTGAAAGATGTTCCACCAGTATTACCCAATTGCAGCTTTTCTGGAGTTTTTCTGCCCCCATTGCTATTAGAGAGATCCATTCTTTTCTGCTGATGCAATTATTACTCCTGAAGAGGGTGGATGCCTCTTAGTCTGGTACCTCAGTTTTGATTGTTCTGTCTTGGGTCACCCTGCCAGGAGATGAGCACAGTGAGATTGTCTGACCCCTGGGGGCATTGCTCATGGCTTTTCTGGCTCTCTCAACCCGCCTTTCTTGGTGTGCATCCAAGTGGGGGGCCAGTGCGAATGCTCAAGGAAGTACTAGTGGTTATGCATCTTGCTATTTATTTATTTATTTATTTATTTATTTATTAAAGGTTTTTGCATGCCATCCCATTATTTAAAAAGTTTTTGGGTGGCTTACAGAGAGTGAACCATAAAAGCAGAACCTATGGGCCTCTTTTGTTGTGGATCCTGAATTAGTTGTTAAATTGTAGGGGAACTCTGGTTTGTTCTCTTTCACCATGTTATGGTTGGTTGTGTGAAGCTTGAGCCATACTGCTCAGCAGAGAGAGCAGGAAATAACAAGCCGACCACAGAGGGGAGAGGAAATGAGTCACAGTCCTTTCTCAAGCAGTCTTGCAGAACAGAAGAGAGTGCTGCATTGTGAAGGGTCAGGTGGATGTGAAAGGCATCTGTGATACATTCCCTGTTCTGAAGGCTGGAGGTTTGAGAGGACACCAGTCCACCTGTACATGGCATGGACTAGTGAGTAGGAGAGTCCAGTTGCAATGCAGGTGCAAGCAAAATGAGATAAGGTAGGGCTCACAATAGAGGAGAATTTTGTTTTGCCCAGAATTGTAAGCAAATCAAAGAAATATTTATTTCTTGGACTAGTAAATGGATCAGTACTGGCTATTCTTGAGATTTCATACTTCTTTGCATTTTATGATGGAGTTCTTATCTCAAAAACTGTATACTGTATATACTAGGGAACTTTGTGTATAACACGCATTTATTGGGAAACTGCGATGTTTCATGCTTTAAAAGTATGAATTGCAGACCGACATGGAAATAGGACAAAATGTAGTTCTGCGAGAATATATGTGAAACTGACACAGACTGGAAATAGACTGAGTTGTACTAGGTAGGATATTTCAGTATTATAGTTCTATAACGTTTTGGACGAATGCAGTGCAGGATGTACTTTAACAGTTTTCATTATTATGAGTATAAGAAGATTTAGGAAATGTAACTTCTTATATAAGCTATGATGGTGGTTACTGTTTTATGAAATACAAGAGTAATTTGTTATTAATTTTAGATTATATATACATGGGTAGAAATTTGAATGCTGATGTGCATGTATGCTATGATCTCTTTTTATGCATTCTGCTGCAATTAGTCTACAAATGAAACAAAGCATTAACATTTTAGGGATAAATTAACATGAGTTCGTTAGGATTTTTGAGATAATAGCAAGATGACCCACAGTTCTGTACTGGAAGTTGATTCAGTTAATTGGACTTTAATGTCAATTGTTCTACTCTAAACATGACTTAACAGCTCAAGGATTTAAATGTCAGTACCCAAAAGAATGTTTATGACTATATTCTCTCCTTTTTCCAGGTATTGTGAGTGGCTAAAATAAGCTGTGCAGAAGCAGCAGAATAGACTAAAGCAAGGAAGTTGCATCCTTGTGAGTGAGAGAACATGTTTCAGGCCAAGGGATCAGCCAGTACAGCCTCTTCTAATGTATGTACTGAAATCAAGATTTCATGCTGAAGGTGTTGCTTCTGCTTCTGGGCAAGTTGCTTGGGGAAGAGTTAACAAATGATTCAGTTACAGAAATTGCGTAATTTCCAGAGCGATGGTTATCTGCAGAGCCAGTTTGGTGCAGTGATTAAGAGTGGTGGACTGGGGACCCAGGTGATCTGGGTCTAGCCCCCACTCAGCCATGAAGCTCATGGGATGACTTAGGGCCAGTCACAGACTCTCAGCCCAATCTACATCACAGGCCTGTTGTGAGGATAAAATGGAACCACCTTGGGTTCCTCACAAGAGAAAAAAAGTGGGAAAGCAATACAATATGATGATGTTAGTCTATTGCAGCAAAACCTGAAATGACTTCTGGCTTGTGGCATCTAGCAAATTTGTGATGGCATAACCTTTCAGGGATTCAGATGTTACTCTAAATTGTATGCATATACCTATTGGGGGAGCAAACGGTGGAGTCAAATGGTCATGAAGTGCAGTCCACTCCTTTACAGTGCCACCTTCCCCTACCCTGCCTCACTCTGTACTCCTATTTGTGTGTCTACAAATACGTGCTCACCACTGGAGCAGAGACTGCAAAAGCTTATGCTGTAATTGTCAGGCCGCAGTCCTCCTTTTTATAGGGGAGCAATCCCACTGCACTCAGGGAGACTTACTTTGCTACAAAGTTCATTTTCCAAAATGTAAAATTGCAATTACTTATCGTGCCTTGACTTTCACCTAATGAATCTGCTGAATTCTACTTCCATGAAGTAGGTGAAGTTAACAGGTAATTCTTTCCACCCTCCAAAAGCTCTGTGAATTCTATTATGTTTGGAATAAGTGTAGCAAAATTTACCCAGTGTAGATGTTCCTCAACTTGAATCTTCCTTGCTGAGGGGTTCCTGGGTTGGAACCAAATTTAATCACAGAATAGATTCATTAACACCAACTAGACTAAGTTCCATTGATTTCAATGGGTCTGCTGTTAAAGATGACCAAATCTGGATCCAGCATCTTGAGAACTTATTCATGGCAGGTTTGTTTGTTTGTTTGTTTGTTTATTATTTATTTATTTATTTATTTAAAACATTTGTATGCCACCCAGTTGTGCCTCAACACCTCTCCTGAGGCTGATATAACACTCTGAGCAGGAAATCAGAAGAACTCTGGGTGGGAAGTCAGCAGGGAGCAGGGAGTGACATATGAAATTCTAAAACAGAGGCAGCAGAGGCAGAGTTCACAACAGTGACCCGACCTCATGCCCACCTGGGTCTGCAACCCAGAAAGAAAAGAAAAACAACCTTGGGAGTTGCAGTCCCACATATCTGAAATTCCAGGCTGGGGAAGACTGTTTTTCTTTGTATATTTTTCATTTCTTTTTCTGCTTGATAGTTTGAGGGGTTTTTTTGCTTTAAATATGTAATTTTAGGTTGCAAAATGAACCTTCTTTAACACCGAATCAATGTACACTGGATTATGACCTTGTAGCTACAGCAACAGAAAAACAGTAATTGTGAAAAGCACAACAAGGTATTATAAATTTGGAAGAAATTCATTTGAAGGTGCTGTGGTCACACAGGCCTATATTACTGTGTCCTTCCACAGTATGCCATAGGTACCTGTGGCTTCTTGTTACAGAGCTTATTGCACTGTGATGAAGGGGCCTCTTAAACAGTCTTGTGACTTTTTTTTTTGCAGTCTTGCTGCTTTCAGTTGTTAGCTTAGCTTTTATGCTAAAATAATATCCAAACAGTCACTTAACAATCAATTAACTGACTTTTTCTAAGCTTTTGGCTATGATTAGCTATGCAGCTATGAAGATGAATTAAGAGCTCATTTGTCTCTGCTTTCTTTCTTTCTCCCTCTCTCTTCAGGAGTCAAAGAGCAACTCAGCAGCATCCACTGTGCAGCGATCCAAGGTAGTTGCCTGATTTTACTTTCTGATATGATTATTTTTTCCTAAAAAATGTGAGTGCAGTAAAATAAGTACATTGAGCAGATTTAACCCACAATAAGCTCCCTTGCATGCAGGCACTAGGTTGCATCACTAAAGCAAACCTGGCACAACCCTGAAACAGACTACATATTATGGGAGGGTTGTTTAACCCTTGCAGAACCCACACTTGCTGGGCTTGCATGACACAATAATACCTGAGTGAGGCTTGCACATTCAAAATGACGGCGCTGCATGCACCCAACATACACTGCAGCCTCTCCATGGTGAGCTGTTACGTCATATGACTAGCCATGGTGTAGGGTTGGAGTTTTGAACGTCTTTCCGTTCTTCCCTTGTGAGCTGTAGGGTGAGAATCTATTGGACAGTGATGTCCAAGTTGGGTGCTGTGCATGTCAGGGCAGGGATGCTGCCAAGGGAGGTGTGCAAGCACCCCCTTTCCCTTCATGGTAGCCACTTGCCATAAAGGGCCTCAAGTGGGGGCCGGCTTGAAAATGTCCTTCTGGCAAGTGGTAGTGAGGAAGGTGCATGGGTGGGGAAGTGCTTGAGCGGTGCTGCTGCCAAGCAGGAATCGTTGCCCCTTGTGGATGAGGCAGAGGCGGAAAGGGGGGAATCAGTTGAGTGGCGCAGCCCCCAGTCAGGCACCACAGCCCAGCAGGTCCTTGCTCCTCTGACTCACGCCAAGGGGCACAGTTCTTTTCTGCTGGCCCAGACTATGTTGATCCAATCCGTTTCCTCATCCCCTCTGCTGTGCTTCAGAGCATGAGCCCTGTTTGCATGAGGACCCCTTAGCAACCACGACAAGCCAAATCCCACTGGTGATCACAGCTGTCAGAGAGAGGAGCTTCACTCCTTCCTACCGTGCCTCCTGGGATACTGAGAAGGAAGGAGAGGGAAGGGAGTTACCATGATGAGCCTGATCAACTCCTATGCATATCCATGCAAAAAAACATGAAGGGTGGAAACCATGCTTGTCATGATGTGTGAACATCATGCTTGCTCACTCACGTTTCAGATTGGGGGTAGGGCATGTCAGAATCCCGGAATCTCAATTTGAGAAGAGGGAATAAAACTTGGGTTCGTGGGAAAGACCAAGCGTCCAGACCATCTGAGGCTTTATTGTTTTACCCCCAAGGTTCCCGGGGTACATTCACGATAATGCAGGCTGCATTACAGGGCAGGCAGAGATGAACTTTGCTGCCAAGCTTCAATACCATTAGAGGGCATTTGTAGGTACACAGGTGCAGGGCAATCGATGACAGAATGCAGAGATTACAATAAGATTCTGAGGTCATCACATACAGAGCAGATAAAGAAATGTCAGTCAATCACACTGTTACAATGAGATTAAAATATTTCTAATTGCCTGTATTGACACTTGAACCCATCTCCAGGTCTGCTCAGACATGCAAATTCAAGCTACTAGAAACTATTCATGATAAGCTCAGACCCTTATCTCGACTCTAAACATTCTGCATGATCAGGGCACTTGAAGCCCTCTGGGCTATCAAAAGATTATTGTAAACTGAATTCCAACAATGACTATTTACAATGTGTGTTTGGGCTAAAATGGCCTACTGTAGCCTACAGCTAAAGGTGAGAGAAAGAAGGGGGGGGGGGATGCCATTTTAAACAGTGACAGCTTGGTTTTGAGAAGGAAGACAGGATTTGATCCCACAATGCAAAGGCACACAGGAGTAATGCTTTTCAGACAGGATTTATCCAAATTTTCCCAACAGGCATTAGTCAGAGAATGTTTATTTGAAACCCTCCTCTCTTTTAAAATTAAACTACTGAGTATAACTCAATGCTGCCCATTTCCCCTTGCTTCCTGCTCTTTTTGTGGGTGCTGATTTTTGTTATGAAAGATTTCTAAACATTCCTATGCTAGCTGTTGTTCGGAGGACTTCATCCAAATCTCTTTTTACTCCTGTTGAGCAGTCATTCAGCTTGAAGGCCCAGGTGAAGGAGACATGCAGTGCCTGCCAGAAAACTGTCTACCCTATGGAGCGTCTGGTGGCTGATAAATTTGTCTTCCATAACAGCTGCTTTTGCTGCAAGCACTGCCACACCAAGCTAAGGTGAGAAAAGGCAGGGGAAATACAGCTTTTTCTTCTGGGGGGAAATGAAGGGGATATGGGGGAAAGTGCTATAACAAGCTGGGTCCCCCTGACTGCAGACTTTCCCCATCATTCTGTCCTTAGTTGTGACCTTACCTGACATCTAAGCAGCCTAATGAGAAACCAGGAACTGACTCAACACAGGCCAGAAGTGTTGGCCGAATGGTTTCTTTATGTTCTCCATGTGTTGTGTCCTGATTCCTACAGAAGGATCCTGCATCTTACACATGGGATTGAGCCAGAGGAACTGCTCTCCTTCTGGCAGTGGCAGCTGCCTCCAAGTCTGATCACACATCGGAGAAAGATGAAAGCTTGATCTTAAAGGCATATGAACATACGTTTTTGTTTCTACTTTATCCAGTTGTGTCTATTTTCCTAATCTATTGAGGTGGTTAAAGCAAATCAAGGGAGCAAGAGTCAAGTTGATGCAGTGTAGTACACCTTACGTGCCCTACAATTAGGGGAAAGCACCAGAGTGGTGGTAGTAAGGCAAGAAGTTCCCGTATATTCACTTGATTGTTATTTCAATCCGAGGGATGTACTGAGAAATACAATCATAGGAAAAAAAGAGCATTGTTGTGGGCACATTTTAAAATTCATGATCTTGGAATGGTTGCAGTTCTCATTTTGGTGGCAATTCCCTGTAAAATAAGAATGGTGGTGTAAACCTAGTTTTACAAAGCTAGCTTTCCACAGTCACGCTCCCATGAAAGTGTTTTTTAGCCTTTTTATAGCATTTGAGTGCTAGCATCACTTCTGCAGAGTTGGTCAGTATTACACCCATGCTGCAGATGGGAGTGATGATGGCTGAGGCTGAAAGAGGTTATTATTGAACTTCATTTCAGTGCCAGGCCAAAGCCTTTTTATTTTCCCAATATGCAGGTGGCGCAGTGGTTTAAACCGCTGTGCTGTTGGGCTGGTTGATTGAAAGGTTGCCAGTTCGAATCTGCACAATGGGGTGAGTTCCTCTTGCTCCGTCCCAGCTCCTGCCAACCTTGCAGTTCGAAAGCATGCAAATGCAAGTAGATAAAAAGGTACCACTTCGGTGGGCAGGTAACAGCGTTCTGTGCACTTCGGTGTTTAGTCATGCCGGCCACATGACCACGGAGACTGTCTGCGGACAAACGCTGGCTCCCTCGGCTAGGAAACTGAGATGAGCACCGCCTCCTAGAGTCAGGCATGACTGGACATAACGTCAAGGGGAAACCTTTACCTTTACCTTAATGTTGTTTTAAAGATGTGGGTTTACTTGTTCTAATTGATGTTGATGCTGTACTTTTATTGTATCACCATCCTGGAACTTAGTGAAGGATGGGATAAGCAAACAAACGCACAAACAAACTTCAGAGTAGAGTTGGTGTACCACCCCGGAACTCAGCTCTTTCACAGCTGAGCCACCATTTATGCTACATTGGGCCCCCATTACAGAGAACTGCATTTCCTCATTCCTTTTATATTGAGGAATATAAAATATACTTGTCTTCCTTTATTTCAGCTTGGGCAGTTATGCAGCTCTCCATGGGGAATTCTACTGCAAGCCACATTTCCAGCAGTTGTTCAAGAGCAAAGGCAACTATGATGAAGGCTTTGGGCGCAAGCAGCACAAGCAGCTCTGGCTGCAGAAAGAAATGGAAAATGGGACTGATACAGCATGACCAGCAGGCAGCAATTTCCCCACTTTGAGCATCATGAAACAGGGAGGAACTGAGCTGATGGAAAGCAGTGGAGCTTCCAAGGCTTGCTGGGAGCAGAGAAGGCTAGACAGGAGCACAGTAAGGTTTTATGTTGTAGGAGCAATGGTACTGGCTTAATTAGGAGGATACCACAGAAACTGTCCAGATAGGGTTGAGAGTGGAAAATCTTGCTCAAAGCATACAAGCATAGAAAAAGAGGCCAGGCTAGTGATGAATAAGATACAGGCAAGTCCCCAGGTTATGAACCAGTTCTGTTCCCAAGAAAACAGAAATTCCTCTTTAAGTTGAATTTGTATTTAGGTTGGGTCATCTAGTTAGCCTGCCACATTTGTGGGGGTTAGGGGTGCAGAACCCACATGAAAGTGGAAAAAATGCAAATATTGATAGCCCCCACCCCCACCCCAAAGTCACCAGGGCTTCCTCTTTGCAGCAAGGAAATGCTGGAGAGATTTCCCTCTCCAGAAGGACTGGGCAAGAAGACATGCTTTGGAGGCTTCTTTCTTTCCCCCATTTCTTTCTCTCTATGGTGATGCCTTGGAGGCCTTCCTTCTCTCCCCTTTCACTCCACTGTCTATGGTGGTAATATCCCTAGTAATTTTTTAAAATCAATAGGAAAATTTATGGCAGTTTGTTTGTAAGTACGGGTTGTTCATAACTTGGGTGTTTGTAACTTGGGGACTGCCTGTACTGAGACTACTATAATGTTTTAGTTAGATGATCTATGATTCCACTTGTGGCACTAACTAGGTATGGTCCATGCTTATCACACGTAATTCTGTATGTCATGTTACATACAAACCTCCCTCTGCTCCATCAACCACCTTGGAAAACCATATGCAGTTTCTGCAGAATGACCTGATTGGGGAAGTTCCAAGCTACTTCCCTTGCCCTTAAAGTCTTTGGAAGGCCAAAGAAGCCTTTCCAGCTGGCTTTGGGTCAGTCCTGTACCTGTTTATGTTTACGGTCCAGTTGCAACTGATTTCAGAGGGGAAGAGGTATGCGGCTAACTGGATTAACAGGATATGTTTAAGTAGGCAGGGATCAAAATGCTTACTGTTCATTAATTTGGCTGAAATGCAGTTCCACTTCTTCCCTATGCGAAAACATCCCAAGATTAGACTCATTTCTTTTTCTGTGGTGAGACTGCTTCTGCTGCAGAAACTGCACACGTGGACATGTGAGGGAAAACGTGTGTGTCTCCTGGATAAAATGGAAAGGAGGGAATAATTTGTGCAACAATGACAAAAGCATACCCACCAGTCCATTTTTTAACCCAAAGTCTTCAATGAGGTCTCCCATGAAATGGAATTCCATCTTTGCACCCTCATTTTCATCAGCTGTGTTCTACCATTCAGCCTTAAACCCTGGGGAAGCATTCAGTATCTTTTATATTTGCCTTTTTCACTGGTACGTGGTAAACTGACGCACAAGCTCATGGTGCTGTATCTAGAGTTGTGCTGTCTGCTCTTATTTTTGTAATATATGTCTTTGGAGTCCTTCTTTGTTTGTGTTGTTTCATGGTTTGAGAAGGGAAGTGAAAGTCACAGCTTGCCCCTCTTGATACCTGATGGATTGCCTGCTCAACAGGACATGCTGGCATGCATTGTGCATTCAAGAACCAAAAAACTGAACATAGCTAAGAAACCCCAGTCAAGCATAATTTCCCATGGTAAGACAAGTTAAGGTCCAGGGCAGTCTGCAATATGGAGGCAATCCATTTTTTAGCCGCTTAAAAAAGTTTTGGGCAACATAGGGAGAAAACATACTTCAGCTAGGTAAAATGTCCTATCTACATTCTAATGCATGAAGAAAGAGCATTGAATGTGTCATGTTGTGAATAGCATGGCCTGAGCTCCACTATTGAACATCACACAGTTGTGGGTTACCTACCTGGTTATGACCTGATCTTCCAATGGTAACATTTGCCCACAAGAGCTCTTATCACAAATACAGTGGTACCTTGGCTCACAAACGCCTCAGTTCATGACCAAATCAGGTCGCAAACAAAAATTTCATAAAATTTTGACTCAGGTCGTGAACTCTGCATTGGGTGGCAACCACGATTGTGGCCATTTCCCCCCCCCCCACCCCGAGTGGGGAGATGGCCATGATTGTGGTTGCACTCGTGCAGGGAAGACAGGCGCAATCGTGGTTGTGGTCGGGGGGTGGGTGGGGAGATGGCCGCTATCGTGCTGGGGTGGGGGGAGATGTTTGAGATCGCGCCCGTCTTTCCTGCACAAGCGCACCCGTGATCATGCCTGTCTTTTCTGCACTAGTGCAATTGCGATCTCGGCCATCTCCCCGCAGCATGATTGTGCCCATCTGCCCCCCCAAGCGCTCTCGCAATCATGCCCATCTCTCCCTCCCCCGCCCCCCAAGCACACCCAAACATGCTGGGATGATGGGCACGATCATGGTTGTGCTGGAGGGGAGGGAGATGGCTGTGCTTGTGCTTGGGGTGCAATGGCCGCGATCTTTGTTGTTCTTTGTCACTTTGTTTCAATTTTTTCTGATTAAAAAAATAGTTACAGAATGGATTAATCTTATTTACATTGAACCTTATGGGGAAATTTGACTTGGCTCATGACTAATTTGGGTCACGACCAGAGTCCTGGAACAGATTAAGTTTGTGAGCCAAGGTACCACTGTAATTGTGTTTGTGCTTAAGGTCATTCTGGATACTCTTCTAAGACTGGGAAAATGCTGTCCTTTCTAACTCACAGAAAATGAACGGTGAAGGGACCTCGGGGTAATGGCTGACTGCAGGATAAACATGAGTCAGCAGTGTGATGCGGTGGTCAAGAGGGCAAACGCCACCCTTGGTTGCATAGCCAGAAGGGTGGCTTCTAGATCAAGAGAGGTATTACTACCACTCTACACGACTCTGGTGCACCCGCAATTGGGAGTATCGTGTTCAGTTTTGGGCCCCTCATTACAGAAGGGATATTGCCAGGTTGGAGTCAGTGCAGCGTAGGGCCACAAGGTTGGTGGCCGGTTTGCAGGGGATGGGGCATGAGGCGAGACTGAGGGAACTGGGTCTCTTCAGCCTGGAGGAGACTCAGAGGGGATATGTTGGCGACATACAGGTATGTGAGGGAATGTCACACGGAGGTGGGTAGAGACCTGTTCTCCCCTGCAGAGGAAGGCAGGACGCGCTCCAATGGAGCAAAGCTCAGGGAGCCCAAGGTTCCATTTGGATGTCAGGAAGCACTTCCTGACAGTCAGGACCCCGAGGGTGTGGAATGGGCTTCCACGGAAGGTGGTTGAGGTCCCATTGGTGAGGGTGTTCAAGGATAGGCTGGACGTCCACATGGTGGGCATGTCGTGAGCGGAGCCGGCTAGTGCCGGAGCTCAGATTAGACGGCCCAGGAGGCCCCTTCTGGCTCACTCTGTTTCTATGTTTCTAAGTTCATTTTGAAGTTGGGAGGTGTTGGGTTTATGGTGGCAAGGCTGTATAGTAAATTCTATCAGCAGAAGACACATGTGAACACTTTGGCCCTCTCAGAATTGCTAAGCATCCAGTGACAAAAACTAGAGGAACTTACAAACAGTACTGAGTGAAAATAGTATTTTATTGTAAATAAAAGTTATACATTGGCCTGGCATTGCACTGCAAGCCCTGGTCAGTATAGGTATTTATAACAATTACAAAGACACAAGTGGTTCAAAAGGTCTGTAGTATACTCCAGGTTCAGATCATAAATCTCACACTGACAAATGAGGTGCACATGGCCCAATTGCTAAGAATTCTAGAATGCCTGAAGAAATTAAACCATTTTAGTCCGGACAAGCTAAATATACAGGATTGCAGATTTTGTTTACCAATCTCAGTAATTTTCTAAATTTGTCTTCCCTATGACATAACACATGTTCATGGATTATGATGACTGATCTTTACCTATGCTTTGGTGGAAGAAAATTTTTAAATTTAACAGGTCTTCTTTCCATGTGCTTAAGGCTGAGTGTGCTATCAGAAGCTGGAGACAACTCTGGACTAGTTGCAAAAACCTATCCAGACACACCAAAACCCCTTTTACTATGTTTTTTGGTACATCTCTTTCTTTGAATCCTTGTCCAGAGATCAGATGCTAGATCAGTCATAATAAACATACAAATATGCAGAAATTCATCAAGGATGATAAGGATGAGATAAACACTGCCTACTAATGGTTGCTTTCTTCAATGCAAAAAGCTACTTTAGATGTGTTGCCTGCAATAACTAGGTTATAATGCCACAATTTAACAAACTATTGGTGGGTGAACTTGGAGTGTACAGAATCGTCATGGCAAGCAGAAACATCATCTTTGTTTCCTCACACAGGCTTATATTTCCATCTGAGAAAATTTGTAAATCATCTTTCAGCATCTATAAGGACTAGCAATGTTTATTGAAAGCAAAACTGAAAGATGAGCTTTTCTGGGGCCACAAAGTGCTCAAGAGAGAATTTGCAAAGATTAAGAGGTTTACTATGCAGAAAGAAATTACTTTCTGATTGAACTTATTTATGTTCCCACCTAAGAGAAAAGATCTCATGGAACTCAAGTGGGCTTGTGAATTGACAATTGGCATGAATTGTAAGTGACCTAAATCCTTGCTTCTTCTGTGTTACTTCAGTAGCACCGCTAGGAATCTTCACAGTCCATGAGCCACTACAAAGCAAATCGGTGACTTCTAGAACAAGGTCTTCTTTCTTGGATCATTTGCATTCTGTGATTCATGCAGTCTATAGGAATATGAACAACTACTTTTTAAAATATTCAGGCTGCAATTTTGTGGTCATGCAAACATCCAATGGTTATGCCTCCCTGAAATGGCCCCAGTGACTTCAGTGAGACTGCTGTGGAAACTGTGAACTACAACTGTTTTATAAAGCATCTGCAGCACATGGGTCTGAAAACACCCCATCCTTGCATTCGATTATTGTGAGCACTTGCTTATTTTTATAAAACTAATTCAAAATTTCCTCCCGTCATAGGCAATAGATTAGCAAGGAAACAAAGAAGAATTTTGGCTTGATGCATTTTCTTATAAAACTATAATCAAATTCTATGCAAAACCAGCTGCTTCTCTTTTTAAAATTCAAAAAGTGTCAATTTCCTCCCTCCCCATCCCATAACAACTATATAACATATGTATAAAATCAGTGATACAGTATAAATAAGTATGAGGCATCAATTTGTTTATATGATAGAAAAAGCTTAACATATAGAGAGTGATATAAAAATATTTGTAAAAGTGCATCACTGACCAGATAGGCAACATTTTGGCTTATTGTTTATGCTGAATCAGTGGCCCTGTACTGGAGTGTATCATATTAAGAGGGAGCCAAGGCAACATATCACATTCTTGGAGAGAGATGGAGGGAGGAACTGCTGTTGGGCATTTGCAAAGTTATAAGATATATCTCAAAGCATAGTTGTTTTCACAAAGGGTAGAGAAATCTCAGGACAGCACCCTTCAAATCTTTCAATCTACCTTCATGACCTACAGACAGACAGATAAGCAAGGTTAAAAAATCACTGCATACAGTTTGTACATTTGACCTGAAATGAGAAAATGAGAACATCTTACTTTGACCCCTCTATTGTATCTGACAAACCAGCATCCATTCTTAAAGCAATATTTTGAAAACTTTAAGCAGACGGGGTGGCTGCTTCACACCATGCCACTATGAGGATGTGGACAGAAGGGAGGCATTTTTTGATACCCTTTTTCCAAATGTCATCTGCATTTTGCTTGAAAGATAGCACTAGTGGTCTATTGGAGGCATTGCCTGACTCTGCTCTTGACCACTGTAATAGGCTTTAGGTGGCCATCTTGAAATTTAATTAAGCATTTGCACCTCTCTAAAAAGTTGAGAAATTGTTGAAACAGGTGAAAACAGCTAACAGTCCTCAGGTGCTTTCAGGATGGTCATAAAGATCAAAAAGGAACAAAGGTGGATAAACTATCCAATGCCAACAGCAGACAAGGGAAGCATTATGCACAGTGCCATTTGCCAGAAGATACATTTGTTACATTATTTATCTTGAGCAAGATCTTGAAACTTTAAACCAGAAGTGTGCAACTTCCAAGGTCAGAGAATAAATTTCTGGCCAATGTGGGGTGCAACTCCAATAATGAAATAACTGCTGCCATAACAGTGAATTGGTGAATTTCACTAGTAGGTTAGTGGCAAAAAAGCATTGCTTTCCCTTTAAAGCAATGAATGCTTTGCTTCAATGCAAAATTGCACTTCAGGAGGAACTAGAAAATACACTGTTTCTGCAACCACCACAATGCTGAAATTTGGTAATGGCAATAGATGGGGGTGGGAGTGTAAAAGTGACAAAGCTCCTGGGATATACCTCTGGCTTTATATCATCCTGTAGCATATGTGAACTCCCTGAAGGATACCAACATAGGGCCTGATCTTACAGTGGGCCTGCCTGAGCACACCTGGTCCTATATCCATAATTGTATAACGTGAACAATAGGTGAGGGTCATTCACCTCAGATTATTTCCAGCTAAATTGCTGAGGAGTTCCCTGCTTTAATAAAGTTGCAAGATTCTTAGCCAGCAAATAATGCAGCATTTGACTTTTGTATCACACAACTGTAGGATTAGAACACTGTAGGAAAACATGGGGATAGCTAAAGCTTTTGCTTATGTATCTCAATTATCTGTACTGTTCTGTCACACAAACTCCATCTATAATGCTGTTAGTGTTGCAGAACACATGGAAAACACAAAAACAATAGCTGTAGAAGGGCAAACCCCCCTCCTCTCTCATAGGTGCCTGACAAGCCTTTGCTCCTTAGCATGGAAGGCAGGATGTCTTCTGTGTAGGGTCAGTAGCAATGTTCTGCCATTCCCTGCAGTAAGACCTCAGGAGCACGGAAATCCTCTTCAGTTAGAAGGGCTGGCACAAAAATTATGTATGGCACCAGCAGTTGTTCTGCAGGTTAAAAGAAGTGATACAATGGAAGTATAGAAAATGGTGTTTCAACTGTGGCATGATAGCCTAGCTGTGTGGAACACCAACAGAGGGATGTTCTTCATCAGCTGCAAGTGACACCCATCCATACATGGCAGACATCTTTCTGGCTTCCTGGCAGCGTTGCTCTTAGCTTCTCTGACACTCACAACCCCCTCATTATCTTAAGGTATGCATCTAAGAGAGGGACCTATTTATTCCCTGTCTATATCCAGCTTGTGTTAAAACAATCCATAGAAATGGCACATTCTTCTCATCTAATAAATTATGCAAATAAAGTAAAACGTCATATATATTCTTGGTTCCAATCATTTATTTAGCTTTTGTTCTTCACTGAAGGAACACTAAACACATATCCCAATGACTATGCCCTGGTTTCTAAAACCATGAGACATCTGTCTTTTCAGCATTTTCTGCAGCCATTAAGACTGGAATCTTCCATTTTTCATTTTTTAAATAAAATAAATTAAAAAGATAAGTACGGAGTCACAGAATGCAAATTTTTGTGCCAAATATTAAATTCTGTGTCAGCACAAAATAACTGCATAAACACAGAGTGCACAATCCTGAACCGCACCTTCAGAGAGCCCTGTGAAAATGAAGTTTGATGCCCTCATTTCAATCAGGGAGCCTTTGTGCTTAGGTTCCATGGGAACACCCTATCTCCTCATTCAGAAAAGTGTATGGGAAAGAGAAACAGGTAAGGAGAAAAGAAAAAAGAAAAGGAAAACCTTTCCTCTCACTCCTTTGTTATTATAAAACAACTATTCACATATTTAAATCAATATTTTCTGAACACTTTCAGATGCTGAATACTTTAATAATAATAATATTAATAATAATAATAATAAAACAGAGTGCATGTTCTCTGTGGCACTTGACTTGATCATGTCTTTGGGAATGTCAAACAGAGAATAGTAACAGGAGCCCAACACACATTTTTAAACTTTTAGCTTTTATCACAAACTCTACCTCCTCCCCTTCCACCAACTTCTGTCACTCTACTACATTCAGATGAGATGGTTCTTAGACTGCTCCCAGCTCCGGTCCTTGTGAAGACATGCCATCAACATGTCATGGCATCATAGGCCATATCCAATAGGGCTGCTCCACTTCTGCTGTTTCTCTTGCACTAGTGGGACCACCAGCAATCCCAGAAACAAATGGATATGCTCATTTTCAGCATAGATATGATCAACAGAGCTTCTCTTCTACATGCTCCACGGACCTAGCCTGCTTTGGAAACAAGCATTCCACTCACTCGCAACCGCAGCAGCATTCACTAGCTTCCCATTGCATAGCAATGAGTCCTGCTTGTATTCACGCAGCGTAGGATACTACCCTGTGTTAGCACACAGACAAGAGAGGCAAATGCAAGTTGCACTTCCACTGAAAGCATCAGTGCCAAAATGAATATATAAAAGCAGCTCACATTCTCACTTGCTCCTCACATGCTCCCCTTCTAGGTAAGCAAGACAGCATTTGGAGCTGAAGTTCTGATATGGGCCACAGCACGGCTCCTTCAAAGGGGAAGGTATCAAACCGTAGGAAAGAAGTGCTGTTTCAGGGAAGTACTTTAGTACGGGAGCTGTGCAAAGTGGTGCTGGAGCAGCTCTTCAGCTGAAGGTCTCTGCCTGGCTTCCACAAAGATCTGCCTTAGGAAGTCCCGACAAGGTTCTGATATGTGGGAAGGGAGCAGGGGGTTAGTTGGCTGTGTGGCAATCTTGAAAATGGCTGCCATGGCTTCATATTCTGCCCAGGGCGGCTTCTCCGTTAACATTTCTACAACAGTACAGGCAAGGCTCCTGCAAGGGGACAACACAGACGGGGAGAAACTCAGACATGATTCTTTACAAAAGTCACTTTGCAGATCTCTTCATAAGTCACTTAACACACAATTTAACATAGACTTTAATTCTGTGTATCCGAAGAAGAATGGCAATGCATATGTCTCCATTCTCTCTAAGGTATGGGTGTCCTCCTGTGACATGAATATACAATAAGAACAATTTACAAAAATTCAAGAGAGGAAGCCATGTTCACTTTGCTGCAACAAGAACCAAGGAGTCCTGTGGCACCTTCAAGATTAGCAGTGGTATCATGGATCATTTAAGCTGAGCCCTTCATGCATCTGAGATGAGCTCTGGTCCATGAAAGCTTACATACATTTGTAAGGCTTTGAGAAGGCAGAGAATGTGAAATGTGCCTAAGCAACACGCCAGAAATAGAGATGATGTTTTAAAAGTTCAGGTTCTCCTTCTCATCTAGCAAAACAGAGCAATCCTTTGGATAAGGAAATATATCCAGATTTCATGACCATATATTTCTCTGACCAAAATAAAACATGCTAAAATTTGCTAGATATTGTCTTTAAAAGATTCTTTTGTTTTGATAGTCATCAAAAGAAGGTACTTGTGAGAAAGGGAGCAAATGTAAATCTGCACTCAAGTACCTAGAGGCTTGGGGGAGTGTGGAAAAAGGTGAGTGGGCTGAGAACAGTCAGGGCACTGTTAAAAAAACTAGACTCATAACTGACAGGGGAGACGTACTTGCCACCTCCTTCCAGGAAAAAAACCTGCATTGCTGTTTTGATTTCAACTGCCGGATTGCCAATTGACAGCAATGACAAGGCAATGCTACCTACTGTGCTTTGACAGCAGCTATTTACCAGGACACTGGCCAGGGAAGCCTCCATCAAAAGGATCAAAAATGAAATTTAGTCTGAATTACAAATATTTCTGCTGCCCTGCCGCCCCCAAAAAGAAAAGGTAATGAGCCAGTGACAGTCACTTCAAAGTACACCTTGGTCATTGGTGGAACAGCCGTCCATGGAGCTGGTATCGGGCTTGGGGGAAAAGAGGAGGCAAATGAAAACGGGGTCATGATCAGAGAAGGGATGGGGAGGCAAGACAGGTTCTGTTGAGCAGAACGCTGGCACAGAGGCTGGAGTGCCAGGCCTAGGAAGGTGTGGAGAGCAACCCACAGTAAGTCAGGTCATCTGCTCAGGACACCACAAGTCGTTCCACAAAAAACGATACTGCATAGATTATTCACAGAGTGGGTTGCTGTGTTGTGCACACTTGCCCATGATCCCCCAAAGAGCTTTCAAAATTGGGTAGTTATGATGAAGAGCTGTGAAATTTAGTAAATACAGTTTAAGGCAGCTGTGCTCCAGAAAAAGAAAAGCCCTGAGCATAGGACATTGGTACAAATCTCCCTAAAACAGAGGGCACACATATTTGAACACAAAACACGGAATGCCAGCATAGAGCAAGCAAAACAGCATACAGGAAAGAATACTGGGTAACAAAGCTCTGTCTGCCCCTCAAACTATACAGTGCCTTCTTGAAACAGTCACACCCCCTCATTATTCTAGCACAAAAATGAAGTCAACAAAAGCAAATGCATTGGTTACATTCACCCGCTTTGCTGCAAACATGCCTAAATTTGCACAAATCTTTGGTGCAACCACACTTGGAATAATGTGTACAGTTCTAGTTATTGCCCCTGAAATACTGAGTTGGAAAAAGTGCAGAGAAGGGATGAATGGTGAATTGGATGGAGCAGCTCCCCTATGAGGAACAGTTATAACGACTGGGATTATTTAACTTAAAAAAACAAGTAAGGGGAGGCACAATTGAGGTTTTCCAAATTATGCAAGGTGTGGAGAGAGTAGAGAGAGAAATATTTTTCTTTCTCTCCCATAACACTAGAATGAACAGGCATCCTGTGAAGCTGATTGGTGAGAGATTCAGGGAGGATAAAAGGAAGTACTTCTTCACACAATGCAGAGGAACTATGGAATTCACAGTCAGGAAATAAGGATGGTTTCCAATTTGGATGGCTTTAAAAGGGGATTGGACAGATTCAACAGCTACTAGCCTTGCTGTCTATGCAATACCTCTGTTAGTTGTTGAGGAGCTTTCGCTAAGTCTTTTACTACACAGTAAAAAAAATTGAAGACATGCACTCACCCTTATGTAACTAGACTTAGTGATCAGGGAATGCAACCTTCATCAATTTTCTTTTTTTAAATATGATTTGTTTTCATATGAATTAAATCCTTGTCCCTCCAACACAGCAGAACAGAACAGCTCCAAGACTAATGCAGTGTCAGTTGACCCAGGTTATCCTTTCATTGTCCAGAAGTTCATCTTGCACTTCATAAGCTCAAAAGCTTGATGGACCTCTGTACACCAAGATCCTGGCCAATGCTATGCATCAAACAAGCACCCAGAGCAATTTCTCACCAGACATCAGCTTTTCTTCCATAACCCTCCCCACTGATCACTTCTGGACTCATCCAATAGGGTGTTCCAGTGACAGAACGGATGCTGGTCCCAGACATGCAGATGGTCTGCAGCCGTTTGCTAGCTCCAAAGTCCCCAAGCTTCACATTGCCAGCAGAGTCCCGGAGAATATTTGCTCCTGAGAAAATGGAAAAATAAAATAAGAAATAAAATAAATTAAATGGCTTTATGCATTCATACTGAAGTTTAGAGTTTATTAATGGACACAACAGCCATTTGGTTTAAATGTGCAGAGTTCAGTATAGATTCTCTGCCACTATATGCACACCTTGTGGGGTACTTGTAGCCATTAGATATTGTAGTTGCTGTTGGTCGCGAAGTCGTGTCCGACCCATCGCGACCCCATGGACAATATTCCTCCAGGCCTTCCTGTCCTCCACCATCCCCCGGAGTCCACTCAAGCTCACACCAACTGCTTCAGTGACTCCATCTAGCCACCTCATTCTCTGCCGTCCCCCTTCTTCTTTTGCCATCTATTGTTCCCAGCATTAGGCTCTTCTCCAGGGAGTCCTTCCTTCTCATTAGGTGGCCAAAGTATTTGAGTTTCATCTTCAGGATCTGGCCTTCTAAAGAGCAGTCAGGGTTGATCTCCTCTAGGACTGACCGGTTTGATTACCTTGCAGTCCAAGGGACTCGCAGGAGTCTTCTCCAGCACAATTCAAAGGCCTCAATACTTCGGCGCTCAGCCTTCCTTATGGTGCAGGTTTCACAGCCATACATTGCAACTGGGAAAACCATAGCCTTGACTATACGCACTTTTGTTGGCAGGGTGATGTCTCTGTTTTATAGTATGCTGTCTAGATTTGCCATAGCTTTCCTCCCCAGGAGCGTCTTTTAATTTCTTGGCTGCAGTCCCCATCTGCGGTGATCTTGGAGCCCAGGAAAATAAAATCTGTCACTACCTCCATTTCTTCCCCATCTATTCGCAAGGAAATGATAGGACCGGATGCCATGATCTTAGTTTTCTTAATGCTGAGTTTCAAGCCAACTTTTGCACTCTCTTCCTTCACCCGCATCAAGAGGCTCTTTAGTTCCCTTTCACTTTCTGCCATTAGAGTGGCATCATCTGCATATCTGAGGTTGTTGGTATTTCTCCCAGCAATCTTAATTCCAACTTGTGGTTCATCTAGCCTCACCTTTCTCATGATGTGCTCTGCATATAAGTTAATATGTATACAGTATATACATAGTATACAGCCTTGCCAAACTTCTTTCTCAATTTTGAACCAATCAGTGGTTCCGTGTCCAGCTCTCCCTGTTGCTTCTTGACCCACATATAGGTTTCTCAAGAGACAAGTAAGATGGTCTGGTACTCCCATCTCTTTAAGAACTTGCCACAATTTGTTGCCACACAATCAAAGGCTTTAGCATAGTCAATGAAGCAGAAGTAGATGTTTTTCTGGAACTCCCTAGCTTTCTCCATGATCCAGCGCATGTTGGCAATCTGATCTCTAGTTCCTCTCCCTCTTCGAAATCCTGCCTGTACTTCTGGTAGTTCTCAGTCCACATACTGCTGGAGCCTAGGTTGTAGGATTTTGAGCATAACTTTGCTAGCTTGTGAAATGAGTGCAATGGTGCGGTAGTTTGAACATTCTTTGGCATTGCCCTTCTTTGGGATGGGAATGCAAACTGACCTTTTCCAATCCTGTGGCCACTGTTGAGTTTTCCAAGTTTGCTGGCATATTGACTGTAGCACTTTTACTGCATCGTCTTTTAAGATTTTGAATAGCTCAGCTGGAATACTGTCACCTCCACTAGCTTTGTTGTTGCTCAGACTTCCTAAGGCCCATTTGACTTCAAATTCCAGGATGTCTGGCTCAAGATCAGTGACCATCCCATCGTGGTTATCAGGGATGTTAAGCTCTTTCTTGTATAGTTCCTCTGTGTAATCTTGCCACCTCTTCTTAATCTCTTCTGCCTCTGTTAGGTCCCTGCCATTTTGGTCCTTTATCATGCCCATCTTTGCATGAAACATTCCCTTCCTAT